GGGATTAGGCTCTTACAGAGATTATCTGGATACCTTGTTTTAGAGTTCATTAGAGATTAGGTTCTTAGTTTCTTCTAACAGAAATTAAAACTCATTTCTAAATGTTGACCTTGTGTGTTCCTGATGCACATTCATTATAAAATCTAATGAGAATGAGCTACACTTTTTTCTCGTGACATTAGTCTCCGAACTAGAAAAGGAACGTATCTACTTTCTCTTTATTTATTTAATATAACTCATTGTAATATCCAATTTCCCTCCTGGAGTGAAGTGGGATGTGAAAGACGAGATCCTATGGTTAAAGCTAAAAAATCCTCCTCCCCCGACTACTAAACAACTATGTCTCCAATTAGAGGTATATTAAGGTTTGGTATTTGACTCCGGAGACTACTTGATGTATTGTCTGTATTGGGTACTTTTTCTTTTAGATGGACCAAATTGATTCACACCCGACATTCGACTCTCGCACCCTAGAGGAAGCTAGCATAAATAGTAGGGTTAAAAAATTCCAAAGAAGACATTTTTGAGCATAGAATACGGTAAGGGAAAGCAAAAAGAGGGGGTGGGCAAAGGCAAAACGGCGGAAGGCGCACAAGGTGGGTTGACAAAGAAGAGGACTGTAAAAGGCATACATAGGCGTGTAGCAGTAGAGCTTGAGAGTAAGCAGTAAGCAGTAGGGAGCATCGAGATCTCTGCCTTTGTTTTTGTTTTCATACCAATTTGCCAATGCCATCAAATTAGCCATTACTCCCAACATAAAAGCCAAAAGAAACGCAATTTACGGCTTTTTCTCCCTTTTGCCCCCCTCCCCCCTCCGTTTCTATTCTTCAATTATTTCTCCACAACCGTACAATATTATCTATTTTGAACATAAATTCTCATAAATGATTTCATATTAATAGAGATAATTCCTTACTTATGAATCCATGATCGCTTAATCAGTGAGTTTAGAATTAAACTATAATTTAATTAGTTAAAAAATGTGTTAGTGACAGAGGTAGTAGGCTAGCTCTAGCTATTGCTCGTGACCTTAAAGATTCTGGGTGTTTTGACTTTGAAGCCACAAGACAAAAAAAGAGAGAGAAAAATGGCATTTTGAGGGAGAGATTCCCTCTACGAGGAGAAGTGTGTCGTCAAAGCAAAGCCCCAATAAGTCTTGTATTTTTTTTTTTATTTATTTTTGGGTGTGAAAATGTCAGCTATCAAACATATCCAAGACAAAACCCCCCCACAATTTGTAATATAATCCATAAAATATATATATATATAAAAGAAAAAAAAAAAACACACCACTTTCTCTTACTTTTAGGCAGAGAGAGAAGGCAGAGTCACATGTGGGAAGGCATGGATTTTGTTTCATTCAAATATGTATATTTCATTATATATATTTTATTTTATTTATTCAAATTATAAACTATGAATTTGTGAGCTAATTTCAGACACTTGTTATCAAGCCTTGAGACTGATTTTTTTTTTAAAGATTATTTTACTAATAAAAAATAGTTAATATTTTTATTTTCATAACTAAATTCTAAAATAAAAATTATTTTTGAATGTCACTTTCGGTGTCTCATTCAAGTGACAAGGGTTACAGGATTGCGATGAGCTGAAGCTGCCCCTGTTGACTTGCTAGTTGATGCTACTCGATTTTGAGCCTCCTATTATAACAAATATTATAACTATGATTCATACTAGCATTCTTTCGAATTCGAAAAAAAAACATGTACCAGACTCATTAAGAGAGAACATGTTTTTTTTCAATTGGGTCTAAATATTCTTTCAAGTTTATTGGGTCTAAGGCTGGTTTACTATTGAAACAAATAATCAATTTTTTCAATAATTAAATGTGTTTTGATTTTCCGAACACGAGCATTGTCAACGATCTAAACATCAATTCTTTCTTTCAAAATATGAAGTTCGAATCTCGGGTGTCCGGAGTAAATAAGCTAATAATTTTAAAAAAAGAAAAAGAAAAAAGGAAAAAGAAAAACCCACCAAACGAATCCAAAGCGAAGAACACTCGTGAACAAGAGTCAACTCGTGTTTTCTCCTCCTCTTTACTTTCTTTTTTGTATTTATAATTAAGAATCGTATTCTTTTGACATTTTTTTTCCCCTTTATTTATTTATTTATTTATCCGCTCGTGTATTCTCCTCCTCCGTCTCTCCTCCTCCGCCTCCGCCTCCGCTCTGTAACAAAGTGTCAACGCCTATAAAAGTCACTGACCCCGAAGCTTCCCTCTCTTCTTCCTCCATAGCCCCCTTTCTCTTTTTCCCTTCCTTTTCTTCTTTTCTCTCTTTGCCTTTCCCTTTCCCCATTTATAAGGCCTCTTGACACTCCACTTATCCAGTTGCTCTCAACTACTGCCCCATCGTTTCCACCTTCGTCGCCGCTGAATCATCCATCCAGGTGCATTATCTGATTCCTGTTGTTTTTATTTGATTTTTGTGTTCGGTTTTTGTTGATTTCCTGTGATTCTCTTTCGATGTGCTTTGTTTTCACGCTGAGTTTGGATTTTTGTTCAATCGTGAGGTTTGAGGGTTTCGGATCATGGCGGAGGTATCTGCATTTTGTTCGTGGAACTTTTGCCTTCGTTTCTGATTTATGGAATCCTTGGCCTTCGTGTTTTGTGTTCATGAATTTCTCTCGAGATTGGCTTGATCTGTTTAGGGTTTTGCGGTGGTTTTTCAAAAATAAATTGAAATTTCTCTGTATGTTGGTTCGATCCACTGAGTTTTTCTTCTTCTTCTTACGGATTTGATTTGAGATCCTTATTCGTGCTTCATTGTCTGGTTACTATTTCTGGATTATTTGGATCGATTCAAATTAACTTGTGATTGAAACTAACAGGCTTATGTTTGTTTGATATTGCAGTGATTTCTCAGATATTTCTGCCAATGGAACTTGGTGATGTTCATGGTGATTTGGGGGTGACTCGGAAGAGAAAGAGAAATGATGGAGAAAACAACATGTTGAGCAACTTCTCTTTGGATAATCTCAATCAAGACATTCTGGAAAGGGTGCTTTCGAGGCTACCGACCTCGGCATTCTTTCGTCTTTCTTCAGTGTGCAAAAGATGGAAATCAGTTGCAGCTTCTTCAAGTTTCAAGTCTGCCTGCTCGGACATTTCGGCACGCGACCCCTGGTTTTTCATGGTCGATCCACATCTCAACCGCTCGATTGTTTTCGACTCGACTGAGAAAAATTGGAAGAAACTTAACTATCCACACCTCCTTCAGAACCATCATCTCGATTCGATCCCCGTTGCAGCCTCTGGTGGTTTGATTTGTTTTCGCAATTCGGCGGGAAACTTCATAGTGACCAATCCTTTAACAGGCTCCTGTAGTGAGCTTCCTCCTGTGGATCTTGACCAGAAAAAGCAATCTCTTCATGCCATTGTGATGAATGCAGACCCCGGCGGTTGTAAGGGCTCTTACAAGATTGTATTAGTCTATGGCCAGCTTCCAAAGCTTCGGTTCAAAGTCTACCATTCGACCACAGGTTGCTGGGACGACGATGTTACCTTGAGTAGAAAAGTAGACGATTCTATCGACTTCAACTTCAATGACGATACCGGTGTGTACTTCCTGAGTCGAACAGGAAATGTAGTGTCCACAAACATGCAGAGAAGCCCATCCAAGCAATACTCATCCGTGGTTACGAACAAAAGCGGGGAGGACACCGTCTATTTCATTAGCTCCTCCGGGACTATCATGGCTTGTAATCTGAGCAAGAGATGCTTCGTTGAGTACCCCAGGCTCATGCCTGTCTTTTCAGAGTACTCGATCGACGTCGTTGCGTGTCAAGGTGAGATGCTAGTTGTTATGTTGTCTGAGTTTCTCGAAACTGCAAGCCTTAGAGTTTGGAGATACGACGAGGAATCTCGAACTTGGCATCAAATTGCAGCATTGCCTCCTGCAATGTCGCACGAGTGGTACGGCAAGAAGATTGATATCAACTGTGTAGGAGCTGGCGACCAAATACTCGTATGCATGAACTCGAACGAGCATTGTACGTATCTTCTATGCAATCTCGTCGAGAATCAGTGGACCGAATTGCAGAAATGCTATATGAACGGTGAAGCTGTAGAGTTTATGTCTGCCTTTTCGTTCGAGCCGAGGATCGAGGCTTGTGTATAAACGAATTGGCTATTGATTTATTTTTATAAACGAATTGTTCTATAGCTGTTTAGTTCTTTGTGCAAGGCTTTCCTATTTGTTTTTGAATTCTTTGTATTCTTAGCTGACTTAGCTAATGGAATTCAAGAAGATGAGAATAGATGTATGTAGATTCCTTCTTAATAACCTTCTGCCAATTTTACTGTTCAGCCTGTGACTTGTTAGGAATCACGACTCTCCACAATGGTATGATATTGTCCACTTTGAGCATAAGCTCTCATGGCTTTGCTTTGGGCTTCCCCAAAAGGCCTCATACCAATGAAGATAGTATTCCTCACTTATAAACCCATGATCTTCCACTAAATTAACCAATGTGGGACACTCCCAATCCCAATAATCCTCAACATGACTTTCTTTTGATTTTCAGTAGATGAAGGCTGTTTTTACAGAGAAGGTAAATGCTTTACCTTTTGCTGTAAAAATGGACTGCTCAGTTGAGAATTTACCTCAACTCTGCTCTGAATCTGCTTCTCAGTTCCTCAGTTGTTCAAATTTCATCCAATGGGTGAATTGCAGCATAAGGTTGTCCCTTTACTCTGAAAAGTCTGCAGAGTGAATAGGCAAATTTTATTATTTTTATTATATATATATATATATATAAATTAATGTTACATATACTTTTTTTTCTCCTTTTTTTATTATTTTTTTATTATAGGCGTGCTAATATATTAATATGTAATTTTGATTTTTAGTATAATATGTAATTTTAGGTAAATGTTTTATTTTATATTATTTCCAAACTAAAAATACAAAAAATCAAAACTTCGTTTGGGGGCAAATAAAATTGATTAGTTCATTCAGGCAAATTTCCTTCCCGCTTAAAATTATGCAACAAAATGAACAGACGCAAATATACTCGCTAAGAGAGGAATATTGATGATCGTTTTCCCTTTTTCACTGGATTTTCAGAGCGAACTTTTGTGTATTAGTCTCGAAAACTTCATCTGCTTCGATGAAGATGATGGTCTCGAATGGATATGCCGGCGGAGGAAGCAGTGGTTATGGATACGATGGTAGCAATTCGTTTAGAAACAAGATTTACAAGCGATTGGAACCTTGTTTGGTGATACCGCCGCCGAGAGGTAAGCTGCTTGGCGCTATCATTAAGTTCCTCGATGGCGCTATCATCGGAGCTATTCCTGAAGTCACTTGCAGGTTTTTTTCCCTTCCGTTTCTTCGCTATCATTTGTATTTCGATGTAGCTACTTTATTTGAGCTTTTGGCAAAGGAAGGGTTTCTGATGATTTCAGTACCTTATAATTTGACTTTCGATCATGACATTGCCGCGAGACAAGTTTTCGAGAGGTTTTGATGGCTGTTTGGATGCCATTTTAGCGTCCGGATTGCTTGATGAAGATGTTTCACATGCTCAACTTGTTAACCTTTCTCTACCGTGGATCATAGGTGAGTCAACTCGTGATCGTTGTCTTCATTTCCATAGGATGAAATGCTGAGGTAATTTCATTTTGTTGTTTATTGGTAGCAATGGCGCGCTTCTGCAAGTACTCACATGGAGCTATTTCGCCGCGAAGATTCCTAAGGTTTGGCCTCTTGCTTTTCTTCTGGTTATTTAGTCTTTAGTTTACTTGTGGAAATGAATTGGACGCAACTGACTAGCTAATCACCGAGATGATAATTTTCTTATCAATTTCAATGGTTGTGTGACATAATAAATATTCTCGTTGTGGAAGGATAATGCTATAATCTCCTTAAACAACAGGCCAGCAACAGAGGCTGTTCCTTACTTTGAGCAGGTAAGGCTGGCATAGATCACTGTTCTTATATCGATGGATTTCATGGCTAGTTTGTTTGGGCTTGTGCATGCTCAAAAGTATCAACTCCTTTTCACTTCTAAGAGCGATCGCTTATGGAAAAGATATCAATTCCAATATCTGAGACAATTTGCATTTTACCTCTGGAGATGTTTGTTTGGATTGTACAAAAGGTGAGAACCTGGTGATTTTCATGATCTTTCTGAATGAACAGGTTTTGGAAATTGAAGTGAAGCATGATCTTGAGTTTTCAGTTTGAGGGAAGGTGTTTAATCTATAGGGGCGCTCGTCCTGAGTGAATCATTTGTTTTTTTGGATTCCATGAACCAAAGATAGGACGTAGCGATCATTCACTTCTAGATTTTGAATGATAGCAGTATAATAACCCCTAATTGGAGCTAACTCACTTTGTTCTTGATTTCTTTCATGTATTGGACATGGCATTGAGAATAGATAGACATCAAAGAAGACTGCATAACACGAGCTACTGTATTCCATTTGAGAATATTGATTGAATGCTTCTCTAATCATTTGAGAATATTGTTTGATGCCGATTCACATTCATCCTTGTCATTTTCATTCGATTCCAATACTACTTGCTACTTGTGCTATAATTTCTTTTTTTCTTGAATCATGCAAAAAATCGTATCCTTGATCTTTGATGCGTTCATGACGAAACTTTCATTTACTATCCTTGTTTGTATGCAGGGGATGTGTGGAAGATCTTGCTTGATGCTGCTGGAGCTATTGTTTCAGACAGAGATCAATCGAGTAAGTCTTGAATTCTCCGACTAAAATTTGTTGATCAGCTGCCCTCAGTTTTAAACCAGGTAACCCTTTAAAATTTCACGTCTGCTTCTTTGCTTTGTCTCTTCCATTTTAGAATTTTAGAATGGAAGTGGTTAGGAATCGGATCTCCACAATTGTATGATATTGTACACTTTAAACATAAGTTCTCATGGTTTTGCTTTGGCCTTCCCAACCGGCCTCGTATGAATCGAGATAATATTCCTCCTGATCATTTCCTAAATTAACTCAGGTGGGATTTGGTAACATGGGTACTAAGTTGACAGAAGAAGATGCCTGGTTGACTATGGCTGCTTTTTTTTTTTTAATGTGATTGGGTTGGGTCGGGTTGACTCAACCCTTTGCCCATTGAATTTGTACCCAATCTATAAACGGGCTTTGGTCTAAAAAATTCAACCCATCTCGAAATGTTATCTAGGCCAATCCAACCTTTATAATTCAAGTTGAGTTTTGGATTATTGGTTGAATACACACTCCTACTTGAGGCTTTTAAAAATTAAGTGTATCAATGCACCTTTTTAAAGTTTTTACATCTAATAGATCAATTAGGTCTCATTTCATAATCATTTAATTTTTTAATTTTTGGGTTAAGAATTAAGTTTTTAAAATCTATGAAAACCAAAATTTTGTAAATAAAAAATAAGTGTTTTTAAAATATATTTTTGTTGAAATTTTGTTAAGAATATATTGTAAAGAAATTGTCAAAATTCTAAAACTTTTTTAAAGAGACTAAAAAAAGAAAAAAGAAACAGGAACAATTTGGGAGAGGAGAAGGCGGGGAAGAATATGGGAGGGTCGCGGGTGAGATCAAGAATCAGATGATCCAATCATTTGTTTCTTTTTCTTTTTCTCTCTCTTTCTCTTTCGTTAATTATTGTTTGATCGCTCTGCTATTTGCTGTCTGGGCGATTTCTTCAGTTCCATTACACCTGTTCCTGTGGCTGTGCGGCGCGGCTCCCATGGATTATTGTAAAACGTGGTTGCTCTTCCAATCCGAAGAGCCTTGTAAGTCTATGACCTCCGCCATTGCGCCATGAAACACCACATACAAATGCAACAAAGGCACGTTTCCTTTTCCTTGCATCATTTCAATCTCTCTCTCTATTTCTTTTTTTTTTTCCCTTTTTGTCGGCTCTTCTGATACATGTAGGAGTAAGATTTGTTCTGCAGTTCTTTTTTTTTTTCGTTTGCCCTAAATTTTGTTTTCTTATGATTCGCATCATCGTTTTTAGTTCAATTTTATATGAATATCCTTTGTTCCAAATTTAGGATGGTTTCTGCTACTGTTGGAGTCGGTTCTGGGATTTATTTTTTAGGCTGAAACTCTATTTTAGTGTTCATTTTAGTAAATGTAATGTAAAATTTTGCAAAGTTTAACCCAAATTCTATGCCCAATGAAAACAATAAGATAAATGGACCAAACTAGTCCCTTAAAAGTACAAAACCGAAGCTGAAACTATGATAAAAACAAAAGAGTATTTAAACTTTGGATAGACTTTTGGAATTTGGTGTCTACTTCCTCGACATTGCAGGAAATGGGATAAAAATCCGTCTCGGATTTCAGTTCTAAAAAATTATTGTCTTAACCTTTTGAACTCACAAAATTGGGGTTATTTCAAACCTGTATGAAACTCCAATTGCCTTTTCCAATCTGGAATGGACTTTTCAGATCTTCGAATTTAGTGGACTCTTTTCTTTAGGCAACCATTTTAACATCGAGAAATTTTCTTTTCATGTAAACTTGGACTAACTTAGCAAGTTATTGATAATTGAAAAACCGCAAGAACCTACTTGCCATGGGGCCTACCACTGTCTGGAAGAATAATATTTCCTTACTCACCCGACGTCAGAAACTTCTTACTGCTCACCCTGAATTTTTTACATATGGATCTGAGAGAAATTTTCTTTTCTTTTCCTTAGGAAAATATAAATACTTATTAAGAATTAGTGATTTTGACAGACATTAATTAGCCACTTAATTAAGTATGAATGAGTGGTGGTTCACAGAAACTAATTAGCCACTTAATTAAGTATGAATGAGTGGTGGTTCACAGAAACTAATTAGCCACTTAATTAAGTATGAATGAGTGGTGGTTCACAGAAACTAATTAGCCACTTATTAAGTATTGAGAACAGCAACAAAGACAGGATGAGCAGGATCAGCAAATTATACGCCCACTTCATGTAACCGCCTAAACATGCTAAAAGATATTATCCTCTTTGAACTTTCCTTAAAGTTTTAAAATGCATTTATTAGGAGAGGTTTTGACATCCTTACTCTTAGAAGGAATGCTTTGTTCCACCTCTTCAATTGACGTGGGATCTCACAATGCACCTGCTTAGAGGCCCAGCGTCCTGGTTCTGATACCATTTTTAATTGTCCAAGCCCACCGCGAGTAGATATTATCCGCTTTAGTCCGTTACATATAACTACAGCCTCACGATTTAAAATCCATCTACCGTGAAAAGGTTTCTACACTTTTTTGAGAATGCTTCGTTTCTTTCTTCAATTAATCTGGGATCTTACATTTATGTCCAATTTGAACTTGAAGGAAGAAGAAGGAAATCCAGGAGAAATCCCAGGATATACCAAGGTGGCTCCTGTGATTGCTTATTTTGTTTGGAAAATGGATCTGCCTTAGTTTCTTCTCCACCTGTTGCACAGAATCTCAATACAGAAAACCCTATGCAAAATTTAGGTCCGAATCTCAATTTTGATAATAATTTAAAAAATTGTGGATACTCGTTCAGCTGTCTGTGACAACAGTTATTCATTTTATTCACTTTCATTCTGGTCCCCATCTTCATATATCTGTCCCACTGTTTCTTTTGCTGCTACTTATCAGGAAGTTCCCAAATCAATTTCATTATCCAAGGAAGAAGGGATCCTAATGGCTTCTGATGTGTTTTGGTCCAATAATGACCCAACTGGAGAGAGCGAAAAAGGCATGCAGCAGGGTGATATTTTGCAGCAGCATTCGAATTATCAGTGTGCAGAGGAGGATTACCTACAAGATCCTGATCTATCCTGGTATGATTTTAACTTTTCTTCATATTAATGAAATTCGAACACAGAGAAAAAAATATATATATTTAGGAGCAAGCTTTATGATCTATTTATTTGGGTGCTTGCATTTTGGATTTGCAGCTTCGACATTGGGGAGATTGGTTAGGTTAGCATGATTATTTGGTTTTATCTCATATCATGCTTTTGAATCACGGGAGAAACAATATCTTTTTCCCAATCAATATATATATATATATATGAATCATTAGCATTTTATGAATCTTTAGAAGGAGACTACATTCAATGATTTTAAAACCAAGATAGGATTTTTTTTATGGATACCGTTCACAGATTTTACAGCATACAAATAGAGAAATATTATATTTCCTAAAAAACCAGAAAAAATCTAGTTTACCATATGCCTTAGTTCTTAACAGCCTTCTTTTCCTTCGAAAGTAACTGATTGAGTGGCCAAGTGAGAGGAGTGGTGGGTTAGAATTGAAGCGGGTATCTGTCGATGCAATCCAGCCATGGGCTCCTGGCGGGCTTGCGGTTGCGCCTCATTGAGCGCCAAACTAAAGAGTTGCACTTGAACCCAGACCCAAAAGCCAGCTGCCAAATCCGATCCCCAGACTTGACCCTGTCTTTGGCCTCCAAGTAAGCCAATTCGTACCAAATGCTGCTGCTGGAAGTGTTCCCGAATCGGTGAAGTGTCATTCTAGAAGCTTCCATGTTTCTCTCGCTAAGCTCAAGGTTCCTCTGTAACTCATTCAATACTCCTTTGCTGGCTGCATGCACACAGAAGTGCTCGAATGCTTGCTTGTAATCTGGAATGTATGGCTTCTTTGTGTTCGGTACTCCACCGCCGCCGGAGGAGAAGAATTGCCTCCAGACTAGAGCTGCGAAGAAGAGGAGCTGCTCGGAGAAGGGCAAAACGAGAGGTCCCAGGGTTGTGATGTTGGTTTTGAGAGCTTCGCCTCCGATTTCCATTAGGTCTTTGCTGACTTTTAGGCCTTTGAATCCTTGCTCGTCTTCTTCCTGGTAAACACACCTGCCACCCACCATGCAACATTAAAGATCAAAAGCAGTTGACTGTTTAGTTATTTCATACCTAAAAAGGAACGAAACTACGACATCGCTGATAGCATTAACTATTGATTTTATAGTACATCAATTGCCACTAAACTATATTAATATTGGTAGATTGATTTACAAATATCTTAGTGATGAACACTGAAAAAATGACTATCAAAACAATGATTTAAAATTAATTGACCTAAAATTACTACGTACGAAGAATAAATTTTTTTTTGTTATGATTAACAGAAATTTCTTTTAATGTAATGCAACTACACAAATTATCATCGATAATACTTGAAAAAAAAAAGTATAAATAATTCCTTGTATACTGTATATAAAACAAATAATTTTATTTAAAGATAACTTTTTTAACATTAAATGTATGGAATATATCAAATGATAATTAAAATTTTTAAATAAGATTTTTTGTCACCCCTAATCAAATACTCTGATATAAATATTTCATGTTGGCAGTTGGATGATATAATGGACCTGAAAGAATACAGCTAGACAACATAAAAAGCCAATGAACCTAATAACAATTCTTGTTGGCAGTTGAAAGATGTCATAGGCCTGTAAATATACAGCCGTATGACAAAATAAAAGTCCATTGACATTTAAGGCAACCACTGTTACATAGACCAAACAAAACGGTGTGATTTTTACTATTTACATCTAATATTTTTATTACATTTGAAAGGAAACATTATATCTAAAAAATAAAACTAATAGCATTTTTGGTCCTCAACTCTTCTTAAAAATAATAATTTAGTAACTTTGTAATAATTTAGCACATAATCTATAATCTTAAATATGTAACTATTTAATTTTAATACTTCAAAATTTGTAACAACAATTTCTATTGTTAAAGTATTGTTAAAATTCAATGGGTAGAAAACTATAAAGATTAAATAATTATCATAAAAATTGACATCAATTTTTTTAGGAACTTTTACAAATTTTAAAATGTAGAAACTAAAATATTTCATATTAAAATTTATTTACTCAATTGTTAAAAAAATTTAAAATAACTAAATTGTTACAAATTTAAAACCACCAAATTACTATTTCAACAAAAAAATAATTTTTATTAAACTTTAAAAAAAAAATTGGAAAATATGCTTTAAATATATAGGTTAAAATTAAACTCTTTAATTCTTTTCAAAATTAAATTAAATGAAATTATTTAACAAAACAAATAGGAAAGAAAAGTGATCCCATTTCTTACGCCTTCCCTTCTGAACGCAAATAAAACTGAAAAAGACAACAAAGGGAAAACGAAAACGAAAAAGGAAAAGGAAGTACCTGAAGCTGCGATCATCAGCACCTTTGTGTGTACGAACGACGTGTTCGAGGCGGTACTTGGCATGGCGGTAGTCACGGCGGCGATTAGACAGGAGCACGGCAGAGCAGCCCATACGAAAATAGCAATTAGGAATAAGCATAGACCTGTCACGACCTTGGTACCAATTATATCCTACAACCTCCGTACTGACGACGACAGCGTAATTATTAGGGTTAGACTGAAGCATATCGCGAGCCAAATCGATTGCAATAACACCGGCACTACATCCCATTCCGCCAAGGTTGTAACTCAAAATATTTCCCCTCATCTTGTAGTGGTTGATGATCATAGCTGAGAGAGATGGCGTCGGATTGAAGATCGAGCAATTGACGACAAGAACTCCGACGTCCTTTGTACGAATACGAGTCTTCTCGAAAAGCTCGTCGAGAGCGCCAAACATGACGGCGGATGCCTCCGCTCGGCCTTCTTTCATGGTGGCACAGTTATCGGCGGAGGCGATCACCGATTTTGGAATGTAGGTTTCATCGCCGATTCCCGATGACTCTAAAATTCTCTTCTGGAACTCTAGGCTTCCTTCGTCGAACTTGCCCGATTTTCGTGCTAGCTCTATGAATTCCTCCTTTGATACCTGTAAAATGCCAAGATTTTTTTAAAACAATTTCTAACACATGATTCTATTTAATTCTCATAAATTTATTGTTTATATTTTAAATTCTCAGGTTCCAAAATTCTACAAAATGTATTCTCAACTCTTATCCTCATCGAACGATTCCTACATTGCATGCATCATCACGCTGTTAGCTATAACTACACTCATAAATTAACTTAAAATTAAAGCATCTTATTTCCTTTTTATGTAATGAAATTTAATTTAAATTTTAAAAAGAATTATTATAATTGATGGATGGACAGTTTTCATCAAGTACTTTTACAAATACGTAAAATTTCTAAATCAAAAGTAATTTACATGCTGACATTAAATAGTATTAATTAATAGGGCGAAATATCTGTTAAATTTAATACAAACAATAATAGAAGCTAACAATACTAATGTAATTTAAAAAGAAAAAGTGAAAGCTATCTATATATATTTTCCATCTAAAAAACACAAAATTAAGCAAAATATGCAAATAAAAGAACAATTGAGTACACACCTACCAATGATAGTCCTCTACTTGATGTGCCGTAGTTTTAGCGGCTAAAAAGTTTAGTAGGAGCAATCAAAATATATCGCATCAAAGAAATTCATTTTGTTATGAAAAGAAAATTAAAGAAACGCGACTTCAAAATTTAGTTAAAAACCAAACCAAATCGAAGCATATTGTGCAGTTCTCAAGAATGTTCAAATCCTTCACCAGATTAAACAATAATCAATCAAAAGAAAAGAGATAGAGAGAAACGAAATCGAACAGGAACTAACCTTGAAATCATCGGAAGGACGAAAGCATGAAAAATCGATAAGATAGATAGATCTAGGGCGCGACATGAAGTAAACAGAGAGAGTGAAGACAAAGACAGCGAAGAAGGAAAGAACAGTTGCGAGATCGTAGCGAGCATCTTCCCAAAGCTTCCGCCAAATCTCCTCACGGCTAAGACTTCCGACCTCGGCGCTGAAGACGAGTACAAGGACTGGAACAGTAGCGAGATATATGGCGTGGTTGATCAAATAATGGTAGCCTAATTTGACGTACTTGAGATTGACAGAGTGGAGAAAGTCCGGGAGACGGCGGCGGACTCTGACGGAGAAGGTGAGGGAGCCGGCGTTGGGGCCGGAGGATTCAATGCCGCGATTGACGATCTCGGTAGAAAGAAGGTCTTGTTCGTTAGCCATGAGAAGAGCGTGAAAGTTGGTGAAAGAGAGAGAGAGAGAGATGGATTTGGGATTTTTGAGAGAGAGAATATAAAGAGGGAAAATGAAAAGAGGCGGGTGGGAATTAGTTATTGCTAACACCAACTCGGCGCCAAAGCAGTTGGGACGCATTCAACTCCCATTAATTCTTCATTACTTCCCAACTCTTATCTTTCCCCCCCACCTTTTATATTTTAAATCAAATTTGTATTTATAACTTAATTAATTGAATTTTATATTTTAAATAAAAATAATAATTAGAACTTCAAATCTCACTCGAATTAAAATATATATATAATTTTATAAAAACAAAACCTCATTTCAATGAAATACATAATGCCAATAAATGAACGCTCATAAAGAGAATTTATTAATAGTAGCCTAAACATGATCTAAAATCAAGTATGTGTGGATATTCCTTATGTTTATGAGTTCACCTTAGTGAATAATTCACATTATCTTCTCTGTAAATAAAATTTCTATCTTAAAAAATATTCATCAACATCCCTACTTGGTCGATATTTCTATCGACACTGACATCCACCCTCCACTTATTCGAATAGTTTATTCGATAGGCCCGAGGAAGGTCTTCAACCAAAAGCAAAGCAAACCACTAAGAATTTCTCAGCCACACTTCATAACTAGTTAGCTACTTAATAATACATCAATAATCTCTCAAAAGGTCAACCTTAAGAGTAAAGTTTCAAAGAAAGAGAGAAAAAAAAAAGGACTGAATTTAAAGCCAACCAGATATCTACCACACACTTGGATAGTTAGTTCGGCAGAGTCCACATGCATTGACCAAGCAAAGCAAGAGAGTGGTCTTCGGCCACACCCTTCGTATAATGGCCGCCTTCACGGTTTGACAAACAAATTCTATGCATTCAATTTTGTCAACCAACGACAGTTGACCAGACAGACAATGAGTAAACTCATAAACACTGTGTATTTAACCTCATTGTTATGAGTTAGGACACATTTTATATGGCAAGAAATGCACCAAGAAACAAGTTGATCCGCTCAATGTATATGCA